TATGACTGCCAATTCTCTATGATGTGGACAAATGGCTGAGCCCTAGTGCCAGAAAGGTGTTGACATTGCTAGCTTCCACTAATGTGGAAGGCCTTTGAGATCATGAGCCTGAGTTTTCTACCTGTAAAATGGGGATAAAGGTGATATAATACCCAGTCAAAGTCCATTAATGGTTGTGAGGTGCAGTAGCAGTGTTACGGACCAGCGCGGATTGAGGATTTAGGCTTACGGGTTGCAGCACCTCCTTTTCAGGGCCTGGCTCCTGGAGTGAAATCCAGACCGCAGTGCAAGTGCCACACACAGGCTCCTGACAGAGCAGGAAGAGATGGCATGAAAGGGGACGCAAACCAGTCAGTTTTTCTCCGTCGCTGCTCGGCAGCTGCTCAGCACAAGCAGCAGGGAAATGCTGAAGACGGGTATACCCAAAATCCAGCCCCTTCCTCAGTGTTACAAGGCGCCCTCACACCTGGTGCCCTCTCTTGAAAGCAGGTGCCTATGCCCAGTCTTTCAAAGAGCTGCATGATGTATGGGAAGAGGAGGACTGACCTTAGCTAGTGACTGCTCCATGCAGGACTTGAAGTCAAGTTTCTGCTGCATGAGGTCAGGGACTTAAGGAGCCGCCTTATTAGCTCAACGGTTATTTGCCGGCTGACTGGTCTCGGGGCTTTTTTAATGGTTGTCGACATTAGTGGCACACATTCATAGGGGAGGGGTGAAAAGGGTGCCTCTGGGTGTTTCCTGGTGGGTTAGGGTGCTTGTCTGAGCCATGTGAGAGCTGGGCTTGAGACCTAAAGCTGACTCGGGTCCTGGGGAGAGTCTGGAAGCAGGTGATTGACTTGTTGTAATGGGAGAGAGACACTGCATTACATCGGTAGCTGACAGAGGTGCTCAGAGGTTGCCCGCCTCTTTTCAAACACAGATGAGCCTTCCAGCCCCCAAGCTAATGGAGGGGTAATGCTGCTTCTTGGTGTCTGTAATTCAGTAATCCTGGAGTCGGGCAGTGAGAGATTGCAAGACAGCAAAGCAATGCATGCCATAGCGTGGTGGTTAGGGCTCACATGTGATGCGTGGGCAATGCTAGTTCAAGACCTGGTGCCACTGATTGGCTTCTTACTTGCACACTAAATTATCAACTAGGGAACAGCATCAGCAAGCCAAGTTGTGGGCCTATCTGCTGGTGTGCCAGACCACTGGGCTCAAGCCGAGTGGGGATTTGTAATAGAGCTCCTGCCTCCTCAGTGAACACTTTCATTCCCAAGGTTATTGTGTAAATGGGACCATCTGGCTGCTGCTTGAGACCAATTGGTTAGGCACCCTTGCGCATGGATGGAACCGAGCAGCCTAATAGGGTCAGGGCTAGATGTCTTTGCACTGAGACCACTTTGCAGGGAGCTGTGAGGCTCTCTGGGGAGCATACGCACTGGCTGTAAGCACCTAAGTCCCTCAGTGGACCTCTGCATCAGTGCATCCACACTAGAGTCCAAGTATTTGCAATTCAAAGCGTGGAAGGCAAGATGTACCAAGGCCTGGCTTCTGCCTCAGCCTGCTACAAGGGGGCTCGTGCTTGGCCGCAGCGGGGAATGCAGCAGCCTGCTGGCAAAATGTGTTGCGTGCTGCAAAGGCTCATATGCATGTATTACTGGCCCATGGAAAAGCTCTCCCCCTTTGCCTGGTCTGGCCTGCCTGCTTTTGATTGTCACCTGTGGCTCTCCTGGCCTGCAGCAGATTTCGCCTCATTGTAGACTGCACAGGGAGGGTTTTTACAGTCTCCAGTTATTCATAGGAGTGGAATGAGCAGTGTTCAGTCCAAAGACTGCGGGGTTTCATGGGGGAAGCCAGCCTCAGAAAGCGTGAGGACTAGGTGGAGCACTCCATGGCAAGAAGCGGCTCTGTTGGTCTGGTTTGGATGATGCCCTGGGCTTCGCTGATGTGTCACGCTTGATCTGAGCAGGCTGCTGCAGTGCAAGGACCCGACAACTATGCAATCTGCTGGCAAACCTTTTAGGTTTGGAGGGCATCGTGTGCAGATGAGACTGGAAGGAACTGCCAGCTGCTGCTGGAACCTCCTGTTACCTAGGGGCCACAACCTGGTTTGGGCCTGGAAGGTATCCTCATCAACACCTTCCCCACCGTGATCTTTGCAAGTGAACCTTCAAACCATCTTCTTAATGAATAAACTGTAAAATTAAAAAAAAAAACACCCAGGTGAAAAGAAAATGCCTTTATTCTTGGAGGGGGCGGGGGGCCTCTTACAGCTCGGCCTGTCATTGTTTTTCTAAGGCAGACATACATAAAAAGACTCCATAGTTTAGTCTGAAGACATCTGAATAGTTATTTATTGAGAAGCCACAGTTCTCACACTCTTACAACTGTTGGCTTGTATAAGGCAAAAGCAAGATGGATCCACTATTTTACACAGAAAGTAAAAGCTTCTGGAGGGGGGGAACTCGGGGACATGCACGTACTGGTCAAAAATGCAAATGTACATGACATATAAAACCATTGTGAAACAAAGGAATCAAAATGATGGTTACAGTCTACCAAAAGAAATGAGAGTCATATAGTCTTATGAACACATTTATATAGGCTAAGGTTGTATTTTGAGGTGCCTTTGTACATACACAGTTATCTGAACCTTAAACAAAGTGTAACATTGAGAGGGGGGCAGTCAGCAACATAGAACAACTTCTGTGGGGCGTACCGTGGCATGATGTACCCATGAGGATAGGATGAATCTGCCGGAGCAGTCAGAATCACTAACCCATTGGGATGCAACCTCTCTGGAGTTAGCTGCACGTTCAAGGCAAGTGCCTGGTTTATTAAACAGGGAGGCAGCACGAGTCAAACGGCCAGTTTCTTTTTCGTTTTGCTTTGTTTTTTAATGAACAGAGAGAACAAAAAAAACTCCTTGGTATCAGCCTGACTTTTCTTTTAAAAACATAGCTGTTTTTATTAATTTTAAGCAGTTGGCATCCACAGGAGAGAAACAAAGAAATGAAAGGACTCAGTTCACTCATCTTCACAACAGTTTACCATCAGTGTATATACAGTACATCAATGACGCGTCGTTTAAACTTGAATTGTAACAGGGACACACCTAGCGTGTTTTTCTATGTAGTTTTCCATTAACAGTATTAAAGAATGGTGCTCTATATTGCTTATGAACATATAGATATGAAATTAGGAAACCAATGAATCAAAGAGAGGTGCTAATCTTATTACCACACAGCTAAAATGGCATTTGTATTGGTCAACTTCTCATGGGCGTTTAGAGCGGACAGAAAAGTTCCTAATGTGGCTAACTGAATAACAGACTAGGTACATGCACTGGTTACCAGGCTATCACCAAGTGGGCCTCTAAACCACAGTAGCTAATCGTCCTCTTCGTCTTCTTCGTCACTGTCCTTCATCGTTATGCCCTGAAGACCTCCACCTTCGCTAACGGAAGCTGTGGCTTCTTCTACAGTCAGCCGGTTTCGAACTGTGTCGTAGGTTTTGCTGTTTAAGGTGGAGTCCAGTACCCCTTGCAATCGGAAATCTCTATACGTTTTCTAAGAGGGAAAGAGACGTGTCAGGGGGGAGGGAGGCAACAGACAGCACCGAGTCAGATTTAAATGCCCAACAGTGGTGTCTAGTGCCTCACTTCAACATCACCTGGACCATTAGCCTGCAAGGGCATGACTGGGCTCAAGTCAGAGGCCCGATTCTTATCGTCATGGAGGGTTTTTTGCAATTCTCTTGAACTGCAAAGAGGCCTTAAACCGCATGGAATGGCAATTCGTGCCCCCTTGACATGGACAGAGGTATAACGTTCAAAGTCAGATCCAAAGAGCAAGTTTGGCCCCTTCACTTCAGTGGGGGTTGTGCCTTCATGAGGACTCCAGAATCAGGCCTACTGGGTCAACGGCACAGAGGCTGCAAAGCAAACCCGGGTACATCTATGCTGTATACTGCAGCCTACTGTAAAGATGCCCAGCTTAGTTTTACAAGAGCTGGCTCGGGTACTAGCAGCAGTCTCCCCGTGGCAGCACAGAGCGCTGCATGGGCTAAATGACCCTGTTCCTAGATGTACTCCGTTCCCTTTCACAATGTACTGTTGTAGCGCATAGTTTCTTCTTTAAAACATAACACTGCAGCCTGTGAACAGGAAGCATGCTAACACATCGCTAGAACACTTTGCTCTCCTGAAAGGGAAATAGTGTAAATACCCGTATCGAGTGTGTATGTTTATCTCATCACCTGCCTTCCTCGCTACAGCAGTTTGGTTAGTTAGCAGGCCAGTGGAATTAAGAGTTAAACCTAGTCTCCTTCTATATGAAATTAGGTTAGATCTTCCTGTTGGGTATGACTTAGTGGTACAACTCCAGCCCTTGTACAAAGCTTGCAAAAATATATATATAATTTTTTGCATCTATTTAGTTGGTCTGATAAAAAGATATCACCTCTACCCAAAGAGTTTTGTCTGCCTATCCCCTTAGACCAACACAGCTACAACCAAGAGCCCTTGTACAATAAACTGAACTACATGCTATGAATAAGTAACTGCTTTAAGTAGTTACTTTGTGGATCCAAAAAAGTTCTCAGATTAGTTTTTGCTGCTGCTCAAAGCAATATTTGCTCTAAAAAACAGGGGAAAAAAGAATTCCTTGTCTAATGACTAACATGCCTCTGCCTCTTGTTTTCATTTCTGAACAGCACATTTTTTCCTGAATGCATTCAGGCTTTGAATTTGTGCTCTGCATACAGGACAGCACAAGCATTTTAAAACATGAGACCAAAAAAAAAAGATCAGATAGAACCTAAATGGTCAAAAATTTATTTACCTCCTTCTGGGATCTTATTATTTCATGTAAACCACTGTGATTTCACACTGAAATAATTATCATTAGTCCAAGACGCGCACCCGAGCATGCAGAAAAATATGCTCCTTTCAGGGTATGTTATCTCACCTTTGTGATCTCTTAGAGTTGATTGTATACACCCATTGTCAAAGAAACGGCTTCAATTAACTTTGAGAACAATCATGATTTGCATTTTGACAATAATCACAAGACATATTTAAACATTGCTGGGAGAAAATATTCCCATTCAACCAAGTGTTATAAACTTTGTGTTTCATTAAACCCCAAATTAAAAATGATTATTTGGCATGATTTCTTTGCACGTGAAAAAAAAAAAGTTAATTTTTTGGGATGTTCATTGTACAGTTCGTGTTGAATGCCAACAGTGCACTGCTGCCTCTGCACTGGAAATTATTCTAATGGTGTGAAGCATTTTTCACATGTATGTCCACCTCTCTATTTCCCTTTGATGCATGTGAGGGTACAATAGGTTCAATAATGAATCAGACACAAACTTTCTCGTTTGCAGAAAGCACTGCAGGAAAACATGCTACCCAGACCTTTTAATGCTAAGATGTTTGCAAAGTCACACACAAATCGTTACCTTTACTATCCTAATAAGGGTTTTCAGTTGGTAAATGTGAAGCTGCAGGTCCATGCGGTCCGTCAGCCAGGTGCACATGACATTCATTGAGCTGGTGTACCATTGCTGCAAGAGAGACAAGAGTTCTCCAGCAAACACAGCGCGGGAGTACGGTGTGACATGAATCAACACAAGCAGGACTGACCTTTTTCTGTTTGCCAACCTGCTAACTTCCTCTGACAGGATTACAGGGGAACGCTTTTTTTTTTTTTTTTTTTTGGAATTCCCTTTCCATGAGTGAGCATTTTAT